CAATGAGATGACGGGATCTGATTGGTCTCCCCCACCCCTTCCCCCGGAGCATGTTCAGCAGCTTAAAACACTTGGGCTTCTATAATATCGAAAACCTTAAACAGGGAATGGAGGACATAGAGATGGACTGTCTCTGCACTTGTATAGGCTGGTAAGCATAGACATTAAGTCAATGCTATTGATCTCGAGACTGCAATTTTTATCGTCCTATTGGAAACATGTACCTGATGTTCAATCATGTTTATAATGTATGAACGATAATAAAGTAATAATATAATTGAAATAATTTCCTTTTTTTATGCCATATAGGAAGATAGATACAACTAATAATTCAATCAAGTAATAAGAATCATCTGATAATAGTTTTTTCACTACATATCACTTGTATTTGCCATGCTCCTTGTTTCTCGATTTAAGATGCACATTGATCAATTAGCAAAATATTATCCTCAAAGCTTTTGTTCCCTGTGGTAACTGGTAAGATAATTGGGAGAAGCGTGTTTACTTGCAGATTGTTTACATACTGCCAGTTGCATTGTCTTTGCTCGTCTTGTGGGTTTTGGAAGCTGGTCTTAGCGCCCATTTGGTGTAGCTACAAACTTGATAAAAATTTAAATCAAAGTTAACAATTGATTTTAACCATACATTTCATGAGACTCCGAATTTTCATTAACTTTTTTGGCACATTTCATGTATTTTTCAAAATCTACCATAAATTTTATTTTTCAGCTAAGCCAAATAAGGGGCTTAATGTTGTAGATTGCATTAGTCATAAATTGAAAATGGTGTACATATATCATGCTCAAGTATATATTCCCATATATTATATAGCATGAGTAGGTTAGTAAATGATTATGGGGCTATCTGGCAGGGCATTTGCTTTTACTTCTTGTAGAGGAGTTTTAAGAGGAAGCTACATTTTGTCCGTGCTTTTCAGAATGTACATAGTGTTCACTACTTCCAAAACTTTCATTTTTGTCTGTGCTTTTTATTGACAGTAGTTACAAAATTAGATGCGAGGAACCCAAAACTAAATGCAATTTCATTTTAGCATAATCTAGAACCACTGCAGGACTGAGACAATTCTCAGCATATCTTGCTAGTGTATGGAGACTGGAAAATAGGCAAATAAACATAAGCTCCATTTTGTTCTTTGTATGAATGTACATTTGTTATGAGCTATGAAGTTTTTTGTAATTGAAATTTGCTTGGCGTTGAGATGAAAGCAATGTCTTGGCAGATTTGTCAGATGTGTCTTGAAGGGGTTCATATTATTTAAACCCTTGTTTGGTCTAGTGAAAAATTAGATTTTTAGTTAATTTAGATAAAAGTTAATTGAATATGGGTCCTATAAAATGTGTGGTTAAAATTTGCAACAATGCTACACGTATGCCGAGCTTTACAGTCCCTTCACATGGGGGCAGGGTCGGCATTAATTAGGCATGGACCCCTCTATGAGGGGAGTGTTACACCGGTGTACAAGGGGTTTTACTTTAAAATTTTAATCAATTTTTCTAATTAAACCAAGCAAGGGCTTAATAACTTTGAGCATTGGAGATTGGTACAACTGAATTGCCAATTCTAATTTCACTTATTCAACAAACGAGTGAAGATCAAAGAGAACTGGCATAACTTTAATTCAAATTTCAGCCATTGTTTCATCAATCAAGTCTTTAACGACGACAATAACGACAAAATAACCCGTATTATTAAATTATTCCCAAAAGGATTATTAATGAACAATGTCAACAAGTCATTCTTTTGAAAATTTCTCCAAGAATGTGCACCACTGTTATTCAGAACTATCAAAGCTTTGGCAATAAAGACGAAGGAAAAGCAATTAACGTCAAAAATGAAAAAAATAAAAAAAAAAATAATAAAAAGGATCAATGCGCGATCTTACTGTGTTCCTAAATGAGAATCTCTCATCACTCATTTTTCAAGAATGCTAGTTACCATCACAATAACGAGGGAAACCCACAAAGAGGGTTTGACCAAGAAAAGAAGTGGAGCGATCGCTCAAAACAATGTCGAGATATAAGAAAGTAAAGAAATAACAGGAGAATTTGGTAAATAATTTGAGTTTTATTTTTGCTGAATACTTTTGCATAAGGTTACACAGTTTATATAGAGCTATAATGCTTGTGCAAAAAGAAAACAAAAAAATAAAAATAAAAATAAAATCTATTTGTTACAACAAATGGCAGAGGGAATATGCTTAACAGAATGCTGTTGACGTAATGCTTCTAGACACCCTTTCTTCTAGATTCTTCCTTCTTTGCTGGATCACCATTGGATGCTGTCGTGGTTTGGGCTGATGACTGTATTACCAGCTGATCAGGTTGTTCATTAGCATTTAACAGCCCCTCCCAAGATGGAGAGTAGATATCAACTACTCCCATCTTGTTCATGTGTGAGTAAAGGCTTGAAGAATTCAAAGCCTTTGTTAACATATCTGCCACTTGAGAACCAGTGTGAACATACTCAGCAGCGATGCTTCCATTTTGTATTTTGTCTCTAACAAGATGACAATCAATTTCTATATGTTTGGTTCTTTCGTGAAAAAAGGGATTCGTGGCAATGTAGATAGCAGATTTGTTATCTCAATATAACCTTGCTTCTTGGCTATGTTAAATTTGTAAAGTTTCAAACAAATGCCTCATCCATGTTAGTTCACAACACACTTGTGCCATTGCTCTGTATTCAACTTCAAAGGACGATCTTGAAACCACACTTTGCTTCTTTGATTTCCATGATACTAGAGATGAACCTATGAAAACAAAGTAACCTGTCATAGATTTCCTAGTGTCTGGACAAGCACCCCAATCTGAATCTGAGTAACCTTTCAACTGGAGATCAGAAGTGGAGGAATAAAATAAGCCTTGACCTGGTGCCCTTTTAATGTATCTCAGGACTTTGTGTGCTGCATGAAGATGTGGCAATCTAGGTTTATCCATGTATTAACTCTATAACTGAATTGCGTAAGATAGATCTGGTATTGTTATAGTCAGGTATAGCAATTTCCCTATTAACCTCCTATAGATAGTAGGATCAGTAAGTCACCTTCATCCTAGCTTAACTTAATGTTCTGATCAAGAGGTACCTTGGATGGTGCTGAACCTATAGTGCCCGAGTCTCCCAAAATGTCCAGAGCATATTTTCTTTGGCATATGTATATCCCATGTTCTGATCTTGCCACCTCGATTCCCAGAAAATATTTCAATTTCCTAAATCTTTGATTTTGAATTTTGCATCAAGAGCACCTTTAAGGTTATTGATAGTATCCATGCAATTTCCAGCTAAGATAACATCATTAACATACACTAGGATAGCTGTGAATGAGTCTTGAGTGGCCCTAGTGAATAAGCTGTAATCTGCCTTCGATTGAATGAAACCATGTTGAGCGATAAAGCTAGACAACTTTGAATACCACTACCGTGAGGCCTACTTAAGTCCATACAAACTCTTGCGAAGTTTACACACCTTTTGGCACTTATCGGCACTATAACCAGGAGGTAACTGCATATACACTTCCTCATCCAAATCACCATGGAAAAAGGCATTATTAACATCCAGTTGGTACAAGAACCATCCTTTTATGGCTGCAAGAGCAAGTAAACTTCGAACAGTAACAAGCTTTGCCACAGGAGAAAAGGTTTCATGATAGTCCAAACTTTCTTACTGTGTGTACCTCTTTGCAACTAGCCTTGCCTTGTTCTCTCAATTCTTCCATCGATTTTAAACTTGATTTTATATACCCATTTACACCCTATTGCTTCTTTACTAGGTGGGCGATCAACAATGACCCATGTATCATTTGACTCAAGTGCCTTAATCTCTGTTCTCATGGCTTCACACCATTCAGGATAGTTAACAGCTTCTTGATAATCTTTAGGTTCAATTTGTGAAGTTGTAGAGGTGATAAAGGCTTTGTGACGAATAGACAACCTATCATATGACACATTACCACTGAGAGGATAAGGAGTGCCCGAAGGAATAGAGTCCTTTGCCTTGTTCAATTTCTGTAATGGAGTGAATGAAGTGGCCTGCTGACATATGAACTCTTGTAGATGCAAAGGACCTCTTCTAATTCTGGTGGATCTTCTTGGTAAGTGAGGAATGGTTTGTTCTGTTTCCATATCTGCAATATACAAATCTCGGTTTGGGAATCAATTGTGTCATTATGTCCAATGTTTTCTTTATGATTGGAAACAGATGAAGACTGGTTATTAGACTTTGTGGGTTCTATAGATGTGTGATTGTTTGGGACACAGATCAAAGGATTTTGAGGGAAGCAAAAATCAGCAGGACTTGGCACACTTAATTTGTTTAGCATCCACCTCTTTGAAGGGAAACAAAGTTTCATGAAAAACTATATTTCTGGATATGAAAACTCTCTTTGTTTCTAGATCAAGAAGCTTATATCCTTTAATTCCAAATGGATATCCTAGGAATACACATTTCTTGGCTCTAGAATCAAACTTGTGTCTGCCTTGCATGAGGGTTGTAGCAAAGGCAAGGTAGCCAAAGACCTTTAGATGGCAGTATGCTGGTTTTCTTTAGAACAAAACTTCAAAGGGACTTTTGTGATCTAGAAGAGCTGAAGGGGTTCTATTAATGAGATATACTACAATCATAACACCATCATTCCAGTATTTTAAAGAAATCCCACTTTGGAACCTTAAAGCCCTTGCAACATTTAAAATATGTTGATGTTTTCTCTCAACTATGACATTTTGTTGAGGGGTTTCAACACATGTTTTTTGATGTATAATCCCCTTTACAAGATAAAATTGCTTCATGTCAAACTCTCCACCATTATCAGTTCAGACAATTTTTATTTTGGTCTCAAATTGTGTTTCAATT